CCCAGAATCCATTCACTTCCCCAAAATTCCCAGAGCCCTGGAGGACAACTCAGATTCAAGCTGTAAGAACGGCTGGACCGATGCCCCCCCAAAGCTGCAGCAATTCTTCCACAGTGGCCAGTGTGTGCCAGGTGTCGTCTTCCTTCCTTCCTCCCTCCATGCCTGCCTTGTCTTCCTCTTTCACTCACTTCCCTCACCCCCTCATCTTCCTCATCCCCTCCCCCTTTCTATAGTTTTCATGTGCATGTCTTTGTCTAATCTGGTGTCATCAAATAGCAAAGCCCCACACTGATCAACTCAGACACCGAGTTCTCAGGGTCTGGTGTCTGGTATTTAGGCATCAGCAGATTTAGTCTCTGGTGAAGACCTTGTTGTGCCCAGCCCTCTTCCCACTGTGTCCTCACAGGATACAGGAGTGGGCAGCTCTGAGGCTTCCTTATGAAGACACTGGTCCCATCCTGAGGGTTCCACCTCATTGCCTTATTGCTCCAAAAGTTCTCCCTGGGGTGAGGATCTCACCACATGGATCTATGTACACTGAATCTTAACAGCATTGTGAATGTGTGTGTGTGTGTGTGTGTGTGTGTGTGTGTGTGTGTGTGTGTGTGTGTGCGCGCGCGCGCGTGTTGAGAGGACTGTACCATTCCATCTGAGCTGGCCATGGCAGAGCACACCAGTAGGCAGATTACTGAATAGGATGAGTTTAAGGCCAGCCTGGGATACATCTTTGCCTGTTTGGTGCTGGACACCTGTAATCAGCACTCAGCCTCCAGGAGGCTGAAGAAGAGGGATTATACAGGCTAATTTTATGTCAGCTTGACACAAGCTAGAGTCATCTGAGAGGAGGGAACTTCAATTGAGAAAATATCTCCATAAGATTGGGTTGTAGGCATTTTCTTAATTAGTAATTGTTGGGGGAGGGCCTAGCCCCATTGTGAGTGGTGCCATCCCTGGGTTGGCAGTCTTGGGTTCTATAAGAAAGCAGGCTGAGCAAGCCATGAGGAACGAGCCAGTAAGCAGCACTCCTCCATGGCCTCTGCATCAGCTCCTGCCTTGAGGTTCCTGTCTGGCTTGAATTCCTTCCCTGATTTTTTTTGAGGATGAACAGTGATATGGAAGTATAAATGAAATAAACTGCCGGGCAGTGGTGGTGCACACCTTTCATCCCAGCACTTGGGAGGCAGAGCCAGACGAATCTTTGTGAGTTCGAGTCCAGCCTGGTCTACACAGTGTGTTCCAGGCCAGCCAGGGAAACATGGGGAGATGCTGAGTGAGAAAAAGAAATGCATGGCATGGTGGCACACTCCTTTAATCCCAGCACTGGTGAGGCAGAGGCAGGTAGTTCTCTGAGGTTTGAGGCCAGCCTGGTCTATGATGTGCGTTCCAAGGCAGCCAGAGTTACATGGTGAGACCCTGGGGTCCAGCTTCCCAGCATGCTGGATCCAAACTCCCACCAGCCCTGCCCTCCAGAGACTTGCCTTTGCCTAAAAGGGACCACTGCCCATGGGAGGCTAGCTCTCCCCGCCGGCCTCATCAACAGCTTTCCTGCAGAGAGGAAGGGAGAAAGGGTGGACACTGGCTTCAGGGTACCCCACCCCCTTCCATGCAGTGACTCCTTCAACACACGTTGAATCCAGAGCAGAGTTAAAAGTTCTAGTGCAAATCGGACCCAAATGATTACAGCGAGGAAAGGACAGGGTTTCAAAAATAGCAGTGGGTGAGAAGACTGACAGATGCTGAGCATTTGACAGGGTGAATCATTCGGTGGCAGCTTGGTCCCCCAGGAGGAGTGTGAGTCACACACACGAGGGGCTGCCTGCACCGAGTCCCAGGGAACGAGGTGGACACAGGTTGGCTTCGGAATGAGTGAAGGCCATGGGAACTGGAGTTAATGCCCGGGGCAAAGCTGAAGCATGGCTTCTGTCGGTGATTAGGGGCCAGGCAGGGCCAAGGTGACGTCAAGGGGACCAAAGGACTTCCACGGCCAGGTTTGTACACCGTGTAAGTGAGACTGCCTGTGGGAAGACAGAGACCGTCAACGAGCAGGAAAGGTATGACAGAGCTGTCTCAGCGACTGTGGTGTCCCAGACACTCACTCATTCAAGGACACCAGTTTCCCTGGCTCTGCAGGGAAGGCCACAGCCTCAGAGAACACAGGGCCTGAGTTCCAGGAGCCCCTGGATCCCATCGAGCTTCTGATTTGTTTCTGACACCTGGGGTGACAGATGGCAGCAATCAGACACAACCCCTTGTGGGAAGGCAGTGGGGACTGGCCTGGGCAGGTACCGGCTAGATCCCAGGGGCTCAGGAAACTCCAGCCTATCACATCCCAGTTACAACTGGAGAGAGTAGGTCCTGGCTGGGCCAGGCCCAGATCTCTGTTTCTGGGCTCTATGAACAGAGGCTTCAAATAAGAATTCAGGCCCATGCTTGTTAGAGAAATTCAGATTGACGTGGAGGTGACAGTCATGTCCCTTCCAAGGCTTGACAGGGCCTTCCTGCCTCTCCAGCTCCTGGACTCCTGCTGGACCTTGGCTGAACTGAAGGCAGGCCCCTTTAGAGCCTGTGACCATGCATCACTCAGGAGAAAAGGTCTCTGATCACATGGCCTCCTCTACACCCGTGCTTGTCATGGGATGTAGGAGCCACCCAAATGACCCAGGATCTTGAGATCTTTCAGGTCAGTCACATCTGCAAAGACCTTTCTCCCCAGTGAGGTCAGTGAGGCTTTGAGGCCTCATGTGGACATACCTTTGGGGCTATAGTTCAGCTCCTTATGACGTCCTGGCCTTTTCAACCAGATGAATTCCCCTAACACCACAGATAGACCATACTCAGACAAGCACCTTAGAGTCAGTTTTGAGCACTTCTTTGGGCCCAAGAAAAAGATTTGCCCATAAATGGCCCCCCATGTTGGTGAGAGCCCCATGCTTCCTGAACAATGCACCTTTTGCCGGCCAAGGTTTGTAGGGTTTGAAGTCACCATGACAAATGTCCAAAAGAAGTGTTCAGGACTCCTTGCCAGCTGTGCAGGGTTAAGGTGGTGTCCGCCCCTCTCTGAGTCAGTCTGTCCCTCCATCAAGTGGTCATGGTATCATGCAACCCTCTACAGTGGTCAAGAGGTTGAATAAGGTCAAAGGCATAAAATGCCTGGACAGCAAGTGGAGAGAGACTGCCACCCAGGGTCCACAGGGTCTGGAGACACTTCTGAGCAGATGGGCACAGCCGTGGCCACACCTAAGCTGACCTGGGAGGTGGAGAGAGAGAGAGTTGTTGTTTTCTATGATTCAGGGAGGGGTCCACGTGTTGGACAGGGGTAACAGAGAAAGATGGACAACCTTCTCTGGGGTGAGCTCAAGTGTGCAAATGTGTGTGTACACACACACTCACAGTCATACATACAGAGAAAATACACACGTATATGTGCATGCACACCCAAACATGCATGTGTAGCACACACAGAGAGAAAGCACACACACACACACACACACACACACACACACACACACAGATACACACAAAGAGAAAACACGGGCTCATTAATACACACACAGTACATACACAGAGAGAAAACAGACTCACTCTCACACACAGTACACAGAGAGAAAACACAGACTCACACATGCTTGCATGCATACACACACACACACACACACACACCCTCTCTGTGTAAGAACTCAGATCTTCTCAGGCTGGCTGGTTCTCACAACTGAAGAAAGAAAGTGGGGACCGGCTTTGAGAGTCCAGTTCGTACTTGGGTGGGGCATGTCCCCGAAAGAGGCGATGCCTGGTTCTGACAGAGACTCTAAACGTGAGGTGCATATCTTAAGAGGAAGCAGAGGAGTGTGTTGAAGGCTCATCCTCACCCACCACAGGAGGATGTCAAATATCACAGCAAAAATCTCCTCCCTCCAGAGCTAACGGGATAATTGTGTGGTCTAGAAATGTGAGATATGGAAGGTGCAGGAAGGAGGGTGGGTCAGCTGCTCATCTCATCGCCGTGACAGGACACCTGACAGAAACAGCTGTGAGGAAGACGGGTTTTATTTTTGGCTCTCGGTTTGAGAAGGTCTCACACAATCACGATGCATGATGTGGAGGCAGGAGTGTGAGGTTACATGATGGCAATCAGGAAACTGATCGGTGGCACCTGGGTAGGGCTATCACCACAACGATAGCACGTGGGTCCTCCAGCTGGGCCCCGTGCTCAAAGTTTCCCACAACCTCCCAAAACCACACTGCCAGCTGCCGACCAGTGTCTGCATGTGAGGCTTGCAGGGGACATTCTGCATTCAGACTATACAAAGGGGTCTGGTTGTTCTGGGGATACCATGGGATGGGCATGGGGTGCAGAGGAGCAGGCCTGTTGGCATCTTGACCTTCGCTTTGAGTTGCTCTTGGATAAAGCCAGAATGGTCTGCAACAGAAACACTGCCCATCCATGCCACCAGGGTTTCCTGGGACCACAAGGGGGCTAGTCCTTCACCCTCCTGTGGTCTGCCTCCTGCCTCCCCCGTCTGCTGACTTCCTCCTGTGGAAGGAGGGTGAGGCCCCAAGATGGCCCAGGACCACAGCTTAGTCAAGTGACCCTCCCTGTCTTTTTTCATGGACTCCTCTCTTATCTGCCCCTCTCCTCACAGACTACCTGAGAGCCACCCAGCAGACTTTAAAACCAAGCCCAGGTTGAACATAGTGAGTGGTCCCAGTGGCCCCCAGAAAAGCGGGTCCAACCCAACTCCCAGCTAGTGCCATCTTCCAGCCCCTCAACCCCTCAACTTCTTCACCAACCCCTCAGCTTCTCCCCAACTTCTCAGCTTCTCCCCAGCCCCACAGCTTCTCCCTAGACCCTCAGATTTTCCTCAGCTTCTCCCCTGGGGCTGAAGAGGAGAGCTGGTTCTCTCCCAAAGCCTTCACCTTTACCCTCAGCTTCCTAGACCTACACCCTCTGACATCAGGCTACACCCAACCAGGCCTCGCTAGTGCCTGTCTCCCACCTCATGCATCAGTCAAGACCCTCGGAGACACTTGGACCTCTTCCCTCCCTTTCCCAGCCTCCTGCTCCTGAAATGTGTAGGTGGATCCACACTCCCAGCAGTCCATGCTGCTCCTGGTCCCCCTCCTAGGGCTTCACCTTAGATATGCCAACTATGACCCAGAGCCTCAGTGGGCTCACCGTGACCTCCTAAGCCCCCTGGGACCTGGGCCTGCACCCAACACCTCCTGCCATGAAACCCTACTGACAGCACACTTCTCATTCTGCACTCCACTAAGTTACATCCATAACAACTTCCTGTGTTCCCACCTGACTCTTGACCCCTGGCCTTCCCTATGTCTCCTAGGCCAATGTCTCCCAGGACCCAGAGACCCTCTGCAGACTGCACAATCACTGTCACAGGAATGCCTCCACAACAGGTTTAAACAAATATGAGGGGAATCTTGCCTCACTACATGCTGAGGGTCAGCGTCCAAGTTACTATACCTTCTTAACCTCACAGGGCAGCTGTCACTTCTGCAAGAGCCTTGGCCCCCTGTCATCTTATAAACATCTTGAGAGAGGACTCTATGCCTTCCCTGGATGTCACTCTCAGGGCTTCGTGCAGCCTGGTGCATGGCAGAATCCCAGGAAACCTATGAGGAGCCACATGGGAACTGTTTCTCCGTCTTTGGATATCTAGAAAACAGTGAGTAGATTTGACTGTACCCTCTCCCGCCCTTAGCATTTACTGGAAGTCACTGTGGAAGCCCCTGGCCTGGGGGTGACTCTGTGTTCAACTTCCGTCACCCAGGCATCTCTGCTTCTTCAGGGAGCTCTGGGAGCGTCATTTGAGAACTGTGTCCATGCCCCCCGAGTTGTATTTATCACCCAAACTTGTCCACAGTCTTCCCTCATTGAGACATCAGCATTTGTGGGGTTCCGCAGGGCCCCTTGTCCCTGCTTCTGGCTCTTAGCCTCTCCCTCCTTCCCCTTATGACATGGATTTCATCCCCCTTCCACAGAGCCATCTGATCATTTTGATGGTTTTCTCTGTTGTTTCTGTTTTCGTTTCTTTACTTTCTATTCTTGCTTCATGGTCCTAGTTCTTCTGATCACACCGGCCACAACCTGTTCGTCTGCCTTCCTGATCGTCAAGGCACATGGGGACCCATCTCCTTTCCTTTTTTTTTTTAAATTTAGTAATTTATTGTAATTATGTTATTTTATTCCATCATGTGTAAGAGAGAGAAGGAAAGGAAGAGAGAGAGAGATGGAGTGAGAGACAGACAGACCGACAGACAAAGCATGTGGCAGTCAAAGGACACCTTTGATGAATATATTCTCTCCTTCCACTGTGTGTGTCCTGAAGATCTAACTCAGACCAGCAGGCTTGGTGGCAATTGCTTTTTCCCACTGAGCCTCTGCTGGGCCTTGGCTTATCTTTATGTGAGTGTGTCTCTCTGTGTGTGTGTGCCATGAATATGCATGCAGGTACCTGCAGAGGCCAGAAGAAGGACTCGTATCTCCTGGAACAGGAGTTACAGGCGGTTGTGAATTGCCAGGCTTGGGCACTGAGAATCAAATTCAGGTCCTCTGGAAGAGCAGCCCTGGCCCCCTGAGTCGTCTCTCCAGCCTCTCTCCTTTGCTAATACAAAGGTTTTAATGCTGCGGAATTCCCTGAGAACGGTGCTCAAGTTCCAGTCTGTAAATTCCTCGCTGTTACTTAGTTCAAACTTCATTCTAATTTTCCTCTCACTCTCTCCCTGACTGCAGTATGGAAATCTGTGGGTTATTTAACAAATATTTAGGGATTTTTTCCCCCAATACGCTGTGCTGGTAAAACCGATTTCTCATTTAATCCCACTGAGGACAGTTGAAATGATTTGAGTCATTTTGAATCCCTGAGTCTTGCTTTGTGACTGAGGACCTGGCCTGTCATGGACAGGGCCCTGCACAGCCACTGAGGAAAGTGCCTTCACAGTCCACCAGGACTCTGTCCTTGCTGGCTTCCTGTCGTTTGAACCAATGTTTGGGAGACGAGCACTAAAACCTCCGATTATAACTGCATCTCTGTCTCTCGAGCGTCTCTTGCTCCCCATGCTGCCGGAGGCTCTGGTAGGGCTAAGGCACATCAGGTCAGGACAGTTCCACTCTTTGGTAAACTGGCCTGGGTGTCACTGTGAGGACACACACACACACACACACACACACACACACACACCCTGTCCCTGCTGACGCTCTGTAGCCTGAGACCTTTGCTGCCTGGCTTGGGTCACCGGCAGCCACTGGATCACAGTTCCGCTCCTCACCGCTGCCCTCATTCCCCAGAAGCAGCTTTGGTGACTGTCACTTTGATGGCCTCTCACTGCTGTCCGCACTTAACAGTGACTGCCGGCTGCTTCCGGTTGTGATCTTGCCAGCTCTGGCCTCCATCCCTGCCTTCTCGGGGTGAGTTGGGCTCTGGTGAGGTCCTGTCCTGTCTCTTCTGCTGGTCTATAAGCAAAGCTCATCTTAATTGGTGGCTAGGCAGCCTCTCCGGGCAGTGGCCTGGTTCTCACTAGCCCCTGCCCTCCATGGCGGCTCTCCATGCTGAATGACGGTTGTGTTCTGAACACCACGGGATCATATGTTGCCCTGGAATTGCAGTTTTTCTAGTTGCTCCCTGTTTCACCATCTTGGCTGGAAGTGGAAATTCCCTTAAATCCTTTCTTAAAATTGAACTTGAGTGATCTGCCTGCCATCAACATCCTTTAAGGAACACACACACACACACACACACACCTTTAGCCCCACCCTCTTGCCGTCTCCCTTTAGACCTCAGCTGCTTGTGGGCACCTCCATGCTCCTCATGAGGGTGAAGCCGATCCACAAACAGCTCACCCTCTGCTCTCACACCACATCAGACTTGGACTTTACCAAGAGCACAGCCATGCCCACCACCTGGCGCAGGACACAGTGAATGCTGAAACTCTGAGCTTGTTTTGCCAAGATAGCTGATTCGTGTGATCTGGGGCCTTTCCTGGTGGGAACCACAAATCCCGTGGGAAGCCGAGCACCCTGGGTTAGGTAGGCTCACGGGCGAGTCCCGGCTCCACAGGTTTCCAGCTCTGGGGGCAGGAGGACACAGCGTGAGTGCTGACGCAGGGGTCAGCGTGCGGGTGTGCAGGATGACTTCATAGGCCCCAGTCAGGTACCCTGGGAAGCTTCCTCATCTGTACGACATCACCAGGGGCCTCCCCACTGGGTTCCTCTGCAGACCCAATAAGCTGGTGTGTGTTGGGGTCCCCTCCCTGTTCTCCTTGGTTGCATCGCACTCAGCTGCTCCTGAGGCCTGCTCTGGACCACTGCAGTGAACAGTCATCTGGTACAAGCAACCAAGCAGTAAGTGACTGGACCCGAGAAGTGACAGGCGATGGAAGACTTCGGCACGGAGTAAGGAAGCACTGTGGGGAGGATGGGGAGGGCCAGTCTGAGCAACCGGGGAGCCTGCTTCACGAGGGCTTGGGCAAGACTCTAAGGAAGTAGCTATGGTCATACCTGCCTGTCAGAAAAGCTGCATGGTGGCCTGTGAAGATGGGATGGGGGAGGGGGTTATTGGGGTGATGGCTGAGGGGAGGGATTTGTCCTAGAGGAACTGCAGACAGGGATGGACACTGACCTGGTTGCGGGCAGAGACTTCTTTCATGACAGCTGTGATACTGTGAAACATGTGTATGTGTGTATGTATATGTATATGTATATGTATATGTATATGTATATGTACATGTATATGTATATCCTCTTCCTTGCCTTTGGCACAACACCCCTAAAGTTTTCACAATCTCCAGAGATGCAAGATTATCTTGAGTACCTGTAAGGAGACTGGTGACTGGACTCAAAGTGCCTTCAGGATGTTGTCATGAGAAAGACCAAAGCAGGATCAGAGGACTGGATGTCGAATCCCTCTTCCTCTTAGAGGCTGAGCAGACCAGTGTCAGGGGGCAGGATGGGTGGATCTCCCAGGTCACTGATGTGATCACTGGTGCCTATGAAATGAAATCACAGGTAAACCAAAGCACAATTTCCTGTGAGTTTCCAGCTGGCTGAAGAGCTTGGAGGTGTCTGGGGTGGGCCCCAGGGTGGGTGTGACCTCACTCTGTTCATCTCCTTTGCAAGGTCCTTAGCAGCCAGGGGGTCAAGATAGGTAAAATGTTTCCCTAGAGTTTGAGATCTGCTGTAGATCTTGTCTAATATTTATGATGCAAAAGGGACTGCCCCTCAGCCTGTGATGCTTGGCACCATCTCTGGTGGGTGGCATTGGGATTACAGGAGATGTGGGGCACCTCTGGGCACAGTGGTTTGGTGGTCAGGCAGAAATGGGAGCAATGGCTTGGGGTTTTTCTTGCCGTCTGCAAGGGCCTGTGGTTCACCATCCCAGGGAAGAGTCCAGCTTCCACCGTGGGCCTCTGCACCTCAGGTCGCTCCTTGGCCTCATCATCCACTGTGAGGTTCAGATCCAGGGAGCTGAGTGTGTTTTGTTTGGGCCTGGATTGAACATGCCTTTCAGATTTATGGAGACAGGTTTGCAAACTAGAATTTCACAGCTTGTTCCTAGAAATGATTGTTTTGTTACATAACACAGAGTCAGCATCTTTAGACACAGGGAGCAGCCTGCACCTCACTCTAGGTCTGAGAGCTACACCCCTACCTCCTAGACACTCTCCCTGTCTGGACCCCATCTCCAGCCTCTAAGGTGGCTCCAGACATGTCTCAGTCAGAGCTCAGAAGCGAATGGGAGGACCCCAGGGGAAGCAGAGACCAGCCCCCTCACCTCCTCAGCAGATGAGCTAGAATCTGTCCCTTTGGGTGTGAGAGGACAGGAAATTGTGTGATGTGGGTGAGTGTTGTGCTCAGGGGGAAGGAAGGGGGAGGAGGCAGAGTATCTGCACACAGCTCTCAGCAGCACAGGGCCCCTGGAGGAAGGGGCACCCCCTGGCATTAGAGGCTTCTGAGTGTCCTTCAGAGCACCCTGTTTTCAACTCCAGCCTCTGAGACCAGCTCGCCTAGGTCCTCCAAGCCAACGCAGCTCTGATAACTTGGGAGGCAGGTGAGGCTCACAGAAAAGTTTGTAGAAAGGGCCACACAGAGTCAGAGTGATAGTGACCAGGGATGTGCTTGGAAGCCTCCATTGTGCCACCAAAGCCCTGCCTCCAAGTGTCTCCTTGTCCAGGAGCCTAGCCCAATGGGTTTAGTCATGGGTGGGCACTGTCTGTCTTCACTCTTAAGGAAAACATGAAGACCCCAAGAGATCAATAGAGAATGTTTCAGGCCTAACCAGTGACAGTGGCGTGAACCCCAGCCTACCTGCTCTAGGCTGTCACAGTCATGGCCTCTGAGTGCCTGCCCATCCATCAACCAGCCCCATTGGAGAGACCTCAGGACACAGGATGACACAGGACACGGAGCTGTGAGATGCTTGACAGTGAGGTCCTAGAAGCCCACAGGTACCAGAATGGTCACTGTGGGGAACCAGTCACCACCAAATCCCACCACCCAAGATGGGAGATACATATGGGTGCACGAGTAGGCAGCTCTGCTTAGCCCACCTCACTGGTCAGCATGGACCCCCATCTCCAGACAGCAACGGTCCAGGGGCAAGAGTATGGGACACAGGAACCTCCAGATGAGCAGCACATAGCAAACACAAGCAATATGCAGTATGGCAAGGGTGGGACTACCAGCCCAGCCCTGCCACCAACTGAGGGGCCCTGCTCCTCAGGAACCTCCACCCAGCTAAAGCTGTGGTCTTGACTACGCTGCAGAAAAGAACTTCAGGGCCAGCCTGGTGGAGTTTACTGCGGATCTGGAGCCGTCTAAGAAAAGAACCACACAGTCCCACACAGGCATGGGTTCCTCGAGAGAAAGGTGTGCTTAGGGTCCTTTGTGGAGGTTGGATATGTGGTCTGTGGCTTTCTCAGTTATATCCCTTAAAGCACCTGATTTACAAGTTTTTAAAGATCAAGCAGAGCTTAAAATTTATACAAAGGTTAAAAATTAAGTGAAAATACACAAGCTGGTTTGCTTATTTTTTCTTTTGTTGTTTGTTTGTTTGTTTGTTTGTTTGTTTGTTTGTTTGTTTGTTTGAGACAGGGTTTCTCTGTGTAGCTTTGGATTTTATTTTTTCTTTTGTTGTTTGTTTGTTTGTTTGAGACAGGGTTTCTCTGTGTAGCTTTGGAGTCTGTCCCAGATTTCACTCTGTAGACCAGGCTGGCCTGGGACTCACAGAGATCCACCTGCCTCTGCCTCCCGAGTGCTGGGATTAAAGGTGTGTGCCACCACCACCCAGCTTCTTAGCTTAAAAAAATGACCTAGGCTAGTGAGATGGCTCATCCATTAAATGCACTTGCCACCAAGCAGAATGACCTGAATTCAGTCCCCAAGATCCACGTGATGGAAGGAGAGAAGCAGCTCCCCCAAGTGGTCCTCTGACCTCTACACTTATGATATGACTAGTGTGCCATGGAACCTCTCTGTGTGCCAGTGCACACATGCACATATATACACACCCACACCCACTAAATTAACTTAAAAATAATAATTTTCTTTGTAATTAAATTGCAAGGAAGTATTTATGAGGAGCAGTGTTTGGACTTAGGAATAATAAGGGGGTACGAATGCAGTTAAACTCCAGGCTGTAGTCACCTGGCCCTAAGTAGATATAGTGCAAGCTGAGACCAGGTTATGCCCTGTTCTACGTCACTCTTTATCACATGGAACAGTGGCTTTCAGGCTGTGCCCTCTACTGGGTGACTCCACTTTACAAAGAAACATCTGACCCCATTTTGAGAGCCAGTGAAAAGGCAGGGTGACTCTGCTCCTCATTCCCAGGTGTAGCAGGCAGCCTAAGGTAGTCCCACCCTTGCCATACTGCATATTACTCATGTTTGCTATGTGCTGCTCATCTGTCCACATGTCCAGCACTACACATGAGATACAGACTGATACATAACTTACTACTGTAAGCAGAAAGTATGTATTAGTTACTTTTCTGTTGCTGTGACAAAGCACCTTGACCAAAAGCAACTTAAGAAAGAAGGAGTTCGGCCGGGCGTTGGTGGCGCACGCCTTTAATCCCAGCACTCGGGAGGCAGAGGCAGGCGGATCTCTGTGAGTTCGAGGCCAGCCTGGGCTACCAAGTGAGCTCCAGGAAAGGCGCAAAGCTACACAGAGAAACCCTGTCTCGAAAAACCAAAAAAAAAAAAAAAAAAGAAAGAAGGAGTTCATTTTTAGCTCACAGTTTCAGAGGGTGCAAGCCCATCACATGGGGAAGGCATGGCAGCAGGAAGGTGGGCTGGGTGGCCGCATTTCATCTGCACACAGGAAGCAGAGAAACAACAGGAAGTAGAGTAAGGCTACATACCCCCAAAGCCTACCTCCAGTGACATACTTCCTCCAGGAGGGCTGCACCTCCTAAGGGTTCTAAAACTTTCCACTAACTAAGAACCAAGCTTTCAAATTCATGGTCCTTGGGGTGCATTTATTATTCAAGACACCATAAGATGCCACCCAGAAACTTAGGAAAATAGTTGGGATGGTATGCACCCATAAAAGTACTGAATTCATTCAGGGAAATCGGGACTGAGAACTTATCAAACACATCAGATCCACTCACTCACCTGGACCCCATAACGAAAAGAACATCTCATCCACTTGTCTGTCATCTGACCGCCCATCACATGTGTCAAGGGACTAACTAACAGGCAGAGAACTCCGATCGTCCTTGAGATTCAAACTTGTCTCAGAGATCTTCCCCACTGCAGCCTTCTTGAATTGCCATGGGTCTCCCCATCATCCATCCGTCCTTCCAGACCTCGTCTTGCCCCTCCCCTCTACCCTCCTGTCCCCTACAGCTCTATTCGACGCCCAGCATGCCTGCCTCCAGCAGTCCTCTCGCTGGGCTGCTAGTGTGCTGTCTGACCCTGGCTGTGACTCTCTCTGTATCAGCTCTCTGCCTCTGAGACTCCGTGGACCTCCAGGAACTTTCCCTCGGTCTCTTTAACCCTTTGAGTCCATTCTGTAACCTATGCATGCATACATATATAGATAGATACTTTTACTGTGTGATGTGTTGTGTGTGATCTGAGAGTTCATATTAGTAATTAAGATTGGACAAAAAAAAAAAAAAAAAAAAAAAAAAGGACTCCTCAGCCAGTGATCAAGGAAAATGAGTGGTGCCTAGCACATTGTCACAGAGGAAACCTGGAAGCTTGTGAACTCACTGTTATTCAATTAATTTTGGCACTGTGGGAACACACAGATGCATCTTTATTTCCGCCATTGCACACTCACCAAGCTTTTTGTTGTTCTTAGCATGCTTATGCTGTGGATATCTCTCTGTATAAATAAAATGCTGATTGGCCAGTAGCCATGCAGGAAATATAGACAAGCAGAGAAGAGAATTCTGGGAAGTGGAAGGCTGAGTCAGAGAGACACTGCCAGCTGCCTCCATGACAAGTGGGATATAAGATACCAGTAAGCCACGAGCCATGTGGCAACTTATAGATTAATAGAAATGGGTTAATTTTAGATATAAGAAGAGTTAGCAAGAAGCCTGCCACAGCCATACAGTTTGTAAGCAATATAAGTCTCTGTGTGTTTACTTGGTTGGGTCTGAGTGGCTGTGGGACTGGTGGGTGAGAGAGATTTGTCCTGGCTGTGGGCCAGGCAGGACTGAAGAAAACTCCAGCTACATTCTTGTCCGTGAGGTTTTTAGGAAAATGACCATTCCTTATATCAGCAATCTTGGCCTTAATGGGTAGCATTGAAGTTCCTTGACTCTCATTCAGCAGGAAAGGAGAACTCTCCCTTCCTGTGTTCCTGGAGAGCACACCTGTTCCAGATCAGGGTCACCTCTGCTCACAGAGCTGGCAAGGAGGAAGAGGGCATGGGGGATTGCACACTCACATCTCAACCTGGCCTGACCAGCAGTGGAAGCAGCATCCTGAGCTGAATCTAACCAGAAGAGCCACCTGACTCGATGACAGCGCATGACAGGGGTGGCTGTCCCATGATTCCAACTTCAAGAAACGAATCCCACTCGGCAAGGGCAGAGCAGGTGCCCAGAGCCAGGAGAGCAGGCTCCTGCCTAGAGCCGCATAATGAGAGCTGTGGGCCTGACACACAGTTCTTCCCCTGATGGTCTAGAAGTTAGAAATTCAAAATCAAGGTGTTGGCAGAGCCACCTGCCTTCTGGAGCGCTGGGGCGCCATCTTTTTCCAGCCGTCAGGAGCTCCAGGTGTTCCTGGCTCCTGGGCACAGCCCTCCTGTCTCTACTGCTGTCCGCACATGGCCTCCCGCTTCTCTGCGACTCTGTCTAATTTTCCCTGCTGTGAGGACATCTGTCACCGGATCAAGGGCCAGCGCAAGCCACTGCCTCATTTTGACTCCTTTCATCTGCGAAGATGCCATTTCTAAATAAGGTCCAGTGAGTTTGAGGGACACACAATGAATCCGCGACCAAACTGGCCCCCGCCTTGCTGTACTGCTTGTGCCTGCTGAGAGCCGCAGGGTGCCACCACCATGCCCAGTAAGCAGGAACCCCAGGCAGAGGTCCTGGCAGGGCAGGGAGTGACCAGATGTAGCACGAGTTGTTAGAAGGTCTTACCAATAAAAACAAACCTGGAGCCAGGTAATGGAGTGAATGCTGGAAGATCAGAGAAGCAGAACAAGCCACAGACAGCTTCCTCACCTCGCCAGTTCCTCACCTGATCCTGTTTCCTCAGACTGGAAGCTTCTGAGTCCTCATCCAGAATGAATCTCAGCTGAACTGCTGCTCAAAAGCCTAAAAGCTTAAGCAGGCTAGTTCCTAGTTTTCACGCCTTATATACCTTTCTGCTCTCTGCCATTACTTCCTGGGAGTAAAGGCTCTTGTTACCACACCTGGCTGTTTCCAGTGTGGCTTTGAACTCACAGAGATCCAGACGGATCTCTGCCTCTGGAATACTAGGATTAAAGGTGTGTGTGCCACCACTTTCTGGCCTCTATATCTAGTGACTGTTCTGTTCTCTGACCCCAGATAAGTTTATTAGGGTGCACAATATTTTGGGAAACACAATATCACCACAACCGGAGGTATAAGCTACCTTCTCCTTTTCCCTTCCTCTTCCTCCTATCCCCCCTCCTATGGAAAGTTCCAGGTGAGCACCCTGAGGAAGCTGCTCTAGGGGTGGAGGGCAGGGAAGGCGCCTGCAGCCTGCTCTCTGTTCTCAGGAGGCTCACAGGAGTAGGGGTGGACTGTCTGGGAAGAGAAATCTCCGAGCCATGCAGAGCCCTCCAAGGACCCGTTGTTAAAGAGCAGCCACTTTCCTCCAGTTCCAGACTCAGCTTGATGACGTCAGGCACTCAGAGGCATGTTTATTTCCTCTGTCTAGCCCATGGAAGCTTGAAGCATGGGCAATGTCAGGACTGGTGGCTGCTACACCCACACCAGCTTAGTGTAGGGTGCTTTCCTCTTCCGGGTGCATGGGGCAAGGTTCAGGAACTCCACATTCCTGTGAGGTTTAGTGACCCATGACTGACAGGACCTCACATCTGTCACCACACAAAGGGAGTTTCTATCTCAATGAGCTGTTTGACTGTGGGACTACTGTCCCCCATCAAGAGATACTAGTGCCACTGACTTGCTCTGAAAATTAGCTTCTTGGTCTTACTGGTTTCTGCCCTAAATAAACAGTGACCATTGGCTTGGGCCACAATCAGGTTATGACCCAGACTTATGGGGGTCATGACCAATGGCCCCACCCCTCCCAGTGGAACCAACCTCACCTCCTACAACCCTACCCCCCACATGATCCCCACCCTACCTGGAGGGCCACCCCCACACAGACTCACATAGCCACCCTCACAGGCCACCCTCACAGAGACTCACATAGCCACCCTCACAGGCCACCCTCACAGAGACTCACATAGCCACCCTCACAGCCACCCTTACAGAGACTCACATAGCCACCCTCACAGGCCACCCTCACAGGCCCACTTGTGCCCTGGCACAACTCTCCTTAGGACAGGCTTGCCTGTGTCGGAGGGGTCAGGAATCAACCGCTGGCTGAGAACACAGTCTCTGTTCCCAGGGCTCCGCCTTTGCTCCCAGATCACCCCCTGGATTCAGGGGAAACTGTGCTTCCTAAGAGTCTGTCACCTCTGATAGGTGACAGAAAGCCTTGTGAGTGCTCCAGAGGGTTGGGGGAGGACCATCCACACAAAGAAGGCAAAGCCAGGAAGGGTAGCTGGCCCACCCCAGCTGCTGCCCCTACCCTCAACCCCTCCCTCCTCCTCCCACAACCACGACTTCCAAAGCTACATGGGGCCATGCTGAGCCCCTGAGGCTTCTGGAAGTCATACGACCCCATCCCACTTTACTCCGCCCTGCCAACCCCCCAGAGGACTTGAAACATGGCTGTTGCTTAGTGAGTCTAACTTGGGCAAGGATTCTTCTCTCTAAATTCGGGAGCTGCCTGCTGGGAAACTATCCCCCTTTCCACTACCCACCTTCACCCCTTCCCCTGCCTCCTTTACACCTCTGCTCCATCTGCATGAGGACCCTACTCTGAACCCCTGCCTAGGACAAATCCACACATCCCCAAGTGGACACCTCTGCCGTCCAGGACTCCCAGCCTCGTAGAGGCCACTCCACAGGCATGCAGAGGAAAGCAAGGCAGCCAGGGTGAGTGCTGGATGGAAAGTGGGGGGCCCCTAAGAGCCACAACCGGGGTGGACACCTTAGGCTTGTCTGACCGGGTCATAGAAGCCCACCTGTCACAAAGCATGTTACGTCTGCGAGCTCCGAGCCTTAAGAAGGCAGCTGAGACACTGGTAGGGTCTTGGCCGGTGTGTAGAAGGTCTTCTTGTCCTGACTTCCTGACCACTTGCACTTGGATGGGCTCCCTGCTCTGTGTGTCTCTGCATGTGCCGAATGTGTCCTTCTCATGGGGTCCTCAAAGGCTCTGGCCTCTGTGGGCAGTTTCAAGCCTGCTGTCCCAGCCCCAGGAGGTCCCCCCCTTAGGACTCTCTTGGCTAGCAACAGACCCTCCCCTGTTCCACCTCCTTCCTCATCCCCTCCCTCAAAGCTGGGCTTAGCCTTTTCTTTTCTTCTTAAGAGTTTTTAATTTTTATTTTATGTGTATGGGCATCTTGCCTGCACATATGTATGTCTGTGGACCTTTTGTATGCCTGGTGCCTGTGGAAGCCAGAAGAGGAAGTAGGATCCCTTAGAACTGGAGTTACAGAAGGTTGGAAGTGTCATGTGGGTGCTGGGAACTGAACCCAGGTCCTGTGGAAGAGCACTTTGTACTTTTAATCTCTCCAGCCCCCCAGCTTTTTTATTCCAGCCCCATAGACCCTCTGTCACAGCTCTGACCTCCCAGAATTGCCACAGCCCATGATACCATGCCCACATCGGGGTCTCTCCCAGCAGACTGGGGGCTCCTGGGTAGTGGGGGTCAGGAACAGCCTGTCCCTGTACTCCTGAGGAAGACCTGGCCCAGGATGGAATCCAGGGAGGAATGCTATGGGGCTCATCTCAACGTTGCATAATTGAGTCAGCCCAGTTGCTGGAGCTCCACAGTTAAAACTTCATCTGGGGAATAATTCTCTTCCTGCTCTGGCCCAGTTATGTCCCTGGTTTCTGGGCAAAGCTGCTGAGTGATGTTCTGAGGATCGCTGTGGTAGCGGCTGATAGCTGGCAGCGTGCAGGATCTCCCCCCACATGCTGCCTGGTGACACCCCCACACTGTCTCATACCCCCTGCCTTACAGCCTGGGGCAAGAGATCAGCCTTGCTGAACTCCTGTGTCCTTTGCAGTAAAGACAGGACTGGTGTTGAGGTCATGAGAGCATCCATGTATTAGTACATGCCAGACTCAAGTGGAGATGCCAGAAATGGACTCCCTGGATCCAGACAGATGGTCCTGGGTCTGATGCTTCCATCAGCTAAGTGGTCTGCCTGGAGGCAGCCATATTCCCCAGCTGAACATCAGCTTCCCCATAACTAGTACCTTCCCCAACTGAAAGGATCCAAAGAGAACAGCTCAAGAATAACCTAGAAACTAAGAGGGCCAGAATAGCTGAGAGGTTGTCCTGAAGCTAGGGTCATGATAAGGATAGTAGACCTCTATCCTTAGACACTTCAGGCCTCAAGGAGCCCAAGACAGACCTAAGAGACACATATGTACTCATGCACATAGGCACATGACACACTTGCACACACGCTCACATGTGCGCACTCACACTAGCCAGCTCTCTAGAGCTAATAGGTGAGAGCTAGCCTTCCACCAGCCTTGCCTGGCCACCCCAGAGGGAACCCCAGGTAGGAAACCAACATGTCTAGGAGTTAGGGACTCCCAGCCCAGGGCCAGCCTACTCTAGTCAGAAGGAAGAGGGACAGGGGCTACCCCTGCCAGAGCAAAGACCCTTCCATGCAGAGGAGGTGGTTTTCGGTGCTGGGAGAGAGAGAAGCAGAGCAGGGACACACACACACACACACACACACACACACACACACACACACACACACACA